ACCAAATTAAGCACATACATGGACAGAAAATACTACTACACACTCAATTTTTGATAAATTTGAGGTTTAAGCATGTATACAATCTTATATTTGGTTAAATATATGCCCTTCTAATGATTTATGATCATGGCAATCATTTTCTGTATGGGGCATCAAATTGTGCATTTTGAGTTTCAGCCAATACTGTAAACACCCTAAGTGTTAGACAGGAATATTGAGATGGAAAGATGGAATAATTAATTTAAAAAGTATGTTACAATACAACCTATAAAAGGTATTTTTAAGAGCTGGCATTGTGGTACAGTGCATTAAGCCTCCACTTGACATGCTGGCATCCCATACTGGACTGCCTGTTTGAGTCCCATATACTCTGTTTCCAATCTGTCTCCCTGCTAATACACTGGAGAAGGCAGTGGGATATGCCTAAGGTACTTAGGTTCCTGCCACCCACAAAAGAGATCTGGTGGAGTTCCCGGCTCCTTGTTTACTTCCAGCCATTGTGGAAATTTGGGTATTGAACCAGTGGATGCAAGGCATTTCTGCTGGCCAACCCACACTTTTCACTGTCACTACCAAGGTGGCCTGTTTCAGCATATTCTTCATCCATTAACTCAGTCCTAATTACATTAACTAATATTCTGGTAGAATAATCTGTTAAAATAATTTGTGCCAAGGAACTGATCTATTTGTCATTGTACTGGATACCCAAACACCATCTAAGTACAGGTATTGCTATGACAGAGTTTACATTCAAATAGCTTGAAAGGAGGTTAGATACTAGAATAGTTAACTGTATTTCTATCTGCAAATGTTATAATAAAGCTAGTAACAAACCATTCCCTATGAAAGCGAGTTCATTTTAAACAATTCATTCTATATATAGGAAGTAACAGAGAGTTTAATAAAATCAAAAAAAGTAAGAAAAGCACATATGCTGTGGTTTTGAGGTGGCTTGTCCATAAAAGAGTTTATGTGTTGGAACCTTTATCCTCAGAGTGACAATATTAACAAGCGATGGGACCTTTAAGAGGTGGGGCCTAGTAGGAGTTCCTTAGAGGCCATGCAGAGGTTCCTCTGAAGGGATCAATGCAGTTCTTGCAGGACCACAGTTTCTCTCTAGCTGCCAGGCTTGTCATGTGAACACCCCCTGTATCACAAGGTCCTACCATAACAATCTCCACCATATTACATTAGCCAAGGGGGCAATCTTCTGTGCTGAGCCAATGTCAAAGGCATGCCTTCGAGAATCTGGAACTTGGAGCTAAATTAACTTCTTTTCATCATAGAATACCCTGCTCAGGTATTTCCTTATAGTAACAAGCATGCGCTCTCCGCTGTGCGTAAAAGTACCCAGTAAACAGATTCCTTCCTAAGTCTCGGCCTGACCATTTCATGGGATGCTTCTGCAAACACGTTGTCTTTTCACTCACACAAAATTCCAAAGGTATGGATTTGTGGGTTCATAGGTGGCTAGTAGTAGGAAATAATTGTAAGCAGCCCATTTAGTAGATTTTAAAATATCATCCTTTAAAGCAAACACCTGTGGTCTATGCTGTATCCCTGAGCAGCTCACATGGTAACATATTTAATAAAGCTGGTTATCTCATCCTTGCACTGATAAGGAAGCTGTCAGAAAAACCTCTGAGGTGTGTTTAGGCAGATTAATTTCATGCTAAAATCACTCTGAATTAGAAATTAATGGAAAAAAAATAACAACTTGTTCAATGCTGAATACAAATGGATAAAAACCAACCTCTGGAGAAATCAATTTTGTTTATCATTAAAGCTAGAGTATATTTACCAGATCATTTTCCCCAGAGTACTGACTTCAATTTATTCTAGTGGATATGATTAGTAAATCATGCTCTTTGCTTTAAAAAAGTAGAAGTGAACTCATTCTGTATAACAAAATAAGAGACATAAAGTTTTGAGTCAGAAGTATAATTGAGGAGACCTATGTGAAAAGTCATAAGTATTTGGGTCTAGTATTCTCTTGTGTATTTTAAAATTAGTTGTTTTTGTGGATTTTCTGAAGTCTTGAATTTTTTCAGCTATTTCACACTCACGGGTAACACAATTAATTGTACGTCTTCATATTATTGTCCTAAATGTAAAATATTTCAAAGATCTAGATAGCTGCAGGATATAAAGACAAACATAGGTAGGTTTCTTATTCTTTGAAAAGTCAAGTCGTGTGATTGGCATCTAAGAGACATACCCCCACATGTGAGAAAGTTGAGTCAATGAGGGGAGATCAAGAAAGAGAAGAAAAGTAGATGCGTGCTTTATATAGCTTCTTTAAAATCCCACCGCATGCAGAAAGTGTTGTTTTCTCAGAAAACGTTTTCTAAAGTCCAAAAAAAAAAAAATCACAAATGTACAATAAGAACATCTTATTGCCTACAAGAAGGTAAGCAGTGAGAACCTCTGTAAAGTTCTTGGGTAACATTTACAGAAAATTTTAGGAAATATCTGTACAATTATCAAAGTTAAAAGACAAACTGTAAAACAAGATCTGGGGCCTGCACTGTGGCGTAGAAGGTTACGCCTTCACCTCTAGTGCCAGCATCCCATATTGGTGTTGGTTCGAGTTCCAACTGCTGCACTTCCTATCTAGCTCTACGCTATGGGAAAGCAAGGGAAGATGGCTCAAACATGCGGGCCTCAGCACCCACGTGGGAGACCCTGGATGAAGCTCCTGGCTTCAGGCTTGCCCAGCCTCAACCATTGTGGCTGTTTGGGGGAGTGAACAACCAGCAGATGGAGCCAGCAGATGGAGGATTCTCTCTCTCTCTCTCTCTCTCTCTCTCTGTGTGTGTGTGTGTGTGTGTGTGTGTCTCCCTCCCTCCCTCTCAACCTCTCCTTCTCTCTGTATCTTTGCCTTACAAATAAGCAAAAATCTTGAAAAAAAAAAAGATTCTAAAAATTAGCGCCCTGGAGACACGCCGCACCCGGTCCCGGTCCCCGGCCCCGTCTCTACGCCTTCCTACCGTCTTCCCTGATGGTCTTCGCGAAGGAACCAATGAGCACTCTTGAGAAATAAAGGTCGAGGCCCGAGGGCATTGGAAAGCAACTGACTCTCAGGTGGGAAGGCCCGGCCCAAGGGTCACGGGGAAGGCCAGGAACGGAAGACGACCAAGTATGCGCCTGAGTCTGGTGGACACACGCGCCTGCGCCAAGCTGCTCTTGCCAGTCTCCTACCCCGTGTCCTGGTGGGGGCGGGGGGGGGAGCGAGGCTGTCTGCAGTTCACCCAACAGAGGAGCTAGGACTCTGGATTAAGTGCCTGGTTGCAGTTCTGTCTCTCCTGTGGTTGTCCTTACAGGAAGGAGATTCAGTCCATCTCATGCCCTTTCTCTAAAAGCTCACATTTTCATCTGCTCTCACATTTTCATCGGTTTTCATGCATCCTGGTCCCCAACATTTAAACACTCATGTTTCTCCTATCCCTTTCTTGGGGTGTCACCACTTAAGAAATGTCCAGTTTAGAACTGAGTATTCGCATTCTCTATTTGTCAGCTTCTTTTCCTAGGTGCCCATTTAGTTAATGGCAATTATAGTCACCCGGTCCGTTCTTACTCAAGCACTGGGCATCTTTGCTGAGTCTACTGCCCCACCTCTATATCCCACTCGTGATAGTGTGCATGCCACATCTCATCCAGTGTCAGTGGTATTTTGCCTCTACAACTGCCCTAGTCTTGTGAGAGTGTAGATTTTTAGTCCAGTGATGCTCCATTGCCATATTTCAGGAACTTCTTTAAGAAATTTCACTTACACTATTTTATTACTCGTTATCCACAGTTTTCCTAAGTGATTTGAAATTCTAGCTTAAATGTGTTGCAAATGTTGACGATGATTTCAGAAAAGTTTAGCTTCCAATGATGGCTTCCAAGAAGCTATACACACACACACACACAATGTAAGATCTGCTGAATTTTTTAACATACCATTTTTTTAAATCATACCTAATGTAACATACATAAATTAAAACTTTCCAACACTCATAGTATTCTAAGACACACTAAAGGAAAAGTTTTATGAAGGTAATCTTAAAATTTCTTGTTATGATTTAAAGATACTCTAGAATTTTAGTATTTGAGTCATCATGAATGTTATCTCACTGTTTTAGATTACAGAGTGACAATAATTTCAGAGTCTAGACTGAGTACACATTAATTCAGTTATATACCAGGAAAGGTTTTCTGAAAACTCTACTGATCTGCCCGCATGTTTCCCCTGGTATGTCTGCCTCTTATCACAATGCTGCACACTATTCACTGTGTGAATTTATTTCATAGAGATTTACCATTCTTAAAGCTCAAAGGTTATTTGGAAAATCAATTCAGTGCACATAAAATCATTACAAATTACATACATCAGCAACAATTTGCAGTGTTTGAAAACTTAATTTCCTGTACACAAATAGAGAAAAAGTTGAATATGGTGGAAAATAGTTTCTGTGAAAAATGTTTTTAAGATTTTTAAATCTAAATATTTTCAGAGGAAAAGCCTCATTTCCAGTGCCACCTTAAATTTATACATATTTCTTCATGTTCTAGTAGCAAATTCATCTTCTAGTATCACAGATAGGTGTTTATAAACTTGAATAAGCACTATGGTCTGTCTTACAAATGAATTAGGGAAATTTTCAGAAAAATAAAAGGTGAGACACCACATGGGACATCCACATCCTATATAAGACTGCCTGGGTTTGAATCCCATGTCTGCTTATGATTCCAGCTTCCTGATAGTGAATACCCTGGCAGGTAGCAGGTAATGGCTCATGAAGTTGAGTACCTGACACCTTCATGAAAAACATGGATTGGGTCTGGCTCATTGCTTCAGACTGGCCTAGTCCTGGCTGCTGTGTGCATTTTGGGAGGGAACCAATGGATAAAAGATCTGTGTGTTTCTATTTCTTGTTCAATTAAGCAAATAAAAAGTTGAAAGAAAAATATGTTTTTTAAAGAGGGGAGGCAGAGACAAAACAAGAATATAAATTAAGCATAAATATTTATTTAATGAAAAGCTTGAACTTTCCAGAAGTTTCCAGAAGTACAATCATTCAGGAAATATTTACTGATCACTTTTGATTTTCTAGGCATTCATGGTATATAAAGATGAATGGTACATTCACTGCTTTCAAGGCGCTTAAAGCTGATTTTGAGAAACATGCACACAAAATGTTTTACTCATATAACAATAATATAAACTTATTAAAACAATCTTCAGGAACTACAGATTTTTTTTTCTGCATTTCTGGACCTATATTTAATACCACTTATTACACTACGGGTTCTGATTTGAAAAATACCAGCATGTAGTATCTAGACACCAAGGCAGCATTTGAGTGACAAAACATTAAGGGAAAACCCGGCGGCAGTGGGCGTGAGGGGCATTTGTAGTATATCGGGTTAAGTCATGGCCTGCAATGCAGGCATATGATATGGGTGCTGGTTCACATTCCTAGTGGTCTCCTCCCAATACAATTCCCTGCTTACATGCCTGAGAAAGAAGCAGGAGATGATGTAAGTACATGGGCCCCTGCCACCCATGTAGGAGTCTCAGATCAAACTCTTGGCTTCACTCTGGCTGTTGTGGCCATTTGCGGAGTGAACCAGTGGATGGAACTCTCCCCCCTCCCCACTCTTTAACTCTGCCTATCACTATCACTCTCTCTGCCTTTCAAAGAAATGAATATATCCTTTAAACAGCAAGTATTAGCAAATCTGACACAATAATAATCCAAAGTCAGCATAATCTGCCTACTTTTGATGAAGGGACAATTTCCCTTGCCTCTTTCAATATTCTAACATATAGAGAAGTACAAACGGTTTTCACAATTGTCCACAATTTGCATTTACCTATGTCCCAAAATACTTTTCCTCAAACTAATCTCATTAAGTTTTAATTTGCAGCTAATCACTTAGAAAAAAAACTTCCTGTGTTGATTATCATATATTATCACATCCTTGTTTTTTAACAACACATTTATTCTACTTTGGGTATAAGTCCTTAAAAAAAGAAAATATTAGCAATTTAGACTTAACATGTTCAGAATCTTTTTCCAGAAGGAGCAGAAAGAGCTCATTTTTCTTCTTTGGACTTTTTAAAATAAAACTGGAAAATTTAAAGTATTATGAAATATAAAATCTAATATCAAAAATAGCCACAGCAAAAATGTCTAGTCTATCCCCTGGGTCAAAATATATTCCCCCAAGTCTGTCATACTTTTCACATTTACAGTTAAGAACCCTGATTTGAGTGCTGGAACTGAAGCTTTGTGCAAATTTCTCAAACAAGTATTAAAGTATTGTCAAAAAACTTGAAGTATTAAAGCATTTTATCAGTTAAGAGAGATCATAAACAATCAAAATAAGGGAGAAAACAGATCGGTTTGTTTTTTTTCTGATTAATTCAGTAAAGTAGAACCCTTGCATCTTTGAAGTATTCTAATCAAATGGGATTTTTATACAAGATTCTAAGACAACTTTTTTTTTCATTTCATCAAAAAAGGACTTAAGAAACCAAAAAATGCAGATGTGTGCATTTTAAATGAAATGCTTCCAAAACTAATGTATTTTACAATTACAATAATGTTATAAAATCACAGTGAGCTCTCCAGAACATAGTAATAACTTTTGTTTAGAAAATATCCTGAATTACTATATATCTGCCCTGAAAAAACCCACTATAATGTTGAAATATAAGTAATACAAAAAGAATATATACACAGCTGTAAGATAATGATAGCATCCCCTTAATGAAACAGAATATGTGATTTACTTAAAGACAGAATGAAACTAATGTTTAGCCAAAATTACATGGATGAAAATTCAAAAAGTTAGTGTTGGGGAGAGTTAAATCAGGCCAATTCCACCTGAAAAACAAAACTTATGGAATTAAAAGCATACATGCTACATGCCAAAGTAAAGAAGGAATTAGAGGGTTAATTTTCGTACTTTGAGGAGTGACCATACTTAGCTCCACAGGCCCGCGTAGTGCCCATGGAGGACAGAAAGGAGAGGCCCCCCGGCCACGAAGAGCTTCATCTCTGGCCAGTTGTAGCAGTGGGTGTAGAGCGCATTTGTCAGTTCGTCCACACCATCTAAGTAGTTTGACCAGAGTCCATCGTGTTTGAGCCAGCCTCTGCCACAGGTGAGCTTGAGCTGCCTCCTCGAAGACCCTGGAGAGGAGTCTGGAATGGCATCCCCTCTCTCCTCCAAGAACTTCTGGGCGCGGACATCATAGAAGAGCAGGGAGCCGTGGCCCGTTCCCACGGTGATGATGTCGTGGTAGAAGCTTAGTGAACGGACGCAGGTGCCACCTTCCCGGCAGCACAGCGGGCGGATGTTGTGCTGGCGCTGGCGCGGATCTACGAAGGAGACATGGGACTCAGAGCCCACGGCGTACAGGGACAACTCCTCGCAGTAGGTCAGGCACACGTTCTCTCGGAAGTAGGGCAGCCTGAAGGACAGCAGCCTGGACAGGTTGCTCCGAGGTTTCCACAGGTGGAAGTAGCCGTCCAGGGATACGGCTCCCAGCTCCTGGTTCTGGCTGCTGAAGGCAAGAGAGCGCACCTGGTGGTGACAGGAGTTTGTGCTGGCCTTGGGGATGTCTTCCATGGCACTGGGGCGGATGTGGGCAAACATAGGGGACCCCATGGCATTGCGCCTGACTACACTGTCATTGAAAATGTCAAAGTCCAGCCGCCATAACGCCACGGTGCCATCGCGGGAGCCGCTCACAACCATGTTGTCGCTGATCCAGGCGATGGCAAAGATCCAATCGCTGTGGCCCTGGCGGTCGCCCAAACACACGGGGTCCAGGGTGGGCAGCTGATAGATGGCCAGACTATTGGGATTTTCGCCCCCGGTGGCCAGAAGCGTCTTGGAGGGATTCAGCTCGATGGCGTGGATGCCACAGCCAGGCTTGGCTCGAACCAGCGCCGGCACCCTGTCCCGCATCAGGGGGAGGCGCGTGATGTGGCCCGAATGCACGTCCAGCACGAAGAGCGTGTTGCACTTGGTGCCGCACACCACCTGCCTGGCGTTCAGCCACTGCGAGGCGAACACCTTGTTGAGGGTGCCCAGGGCCAGCGGGCGCTCCGTCAGCATCCTAGGCAGGCCCCGCACCACGTGGCAGCTCAGCTGGCGCTCGAAGCCCGGGATCCCTGCGCTGCCCCGCATACCGACCTCGCGGTCCTTCAGGTAGTGCACCAGCGAGCGACGAGTCGCCGGCCTCCTCTGCGTCTTAGGTAGCTGGGGCCCCTCTCCGTCTGCCCCAGCCGACGAGGATGAGCTCCTGGCGGTGGCCTGGAGCACGGTCGCTTTCCGCTTCCTGCTACCTCTTTGCTGCGGGGCCATGGTCGGCGTTGGGCTACTGGGGGCGGCCGCGATGGCTGAGGTCATGGCGTGGGCGGGGGCGGCGGCTGTGATGGTGCGGCGTCGGCGGCGCCGCGCGGCAATCGTTTTGGCCATCATGGACGTGGGGATGGTGGCTCCGCCGGGAGGCTGGACGATCGTGAGGCGCCGAGTTGACGGAGTCAGGTAGGCGGCGGCGCAGCAGCAGTAGAGGTAGCAGTGCCCTGCGAGGGATTCACGGGAGTAGGCAGTGGAGCGCGGGCTGAGCTTGGCGGCTAGGGCGGTGCCCGACGGCAGGGCGGACCTAGGGGAGGGCTTGAATTGCAGTTGGCGGCGGGTTGGGAGGGAATTCAGTGTGAGGGGCGGAAGCTGTGGGAGGGGCGGGCTGGGCGGGTAGACGGAGGTGAGAGTAGCGCCGTCGTGCATACAGGGGGCAGTGGAGAAGTGAGCTGCGGGAGGAGGTTCCCAGACAGCCAGGGTTGCGGGACGCCAGGATGTGACACGTGTGGTTTCCCCATCCTCGCCATAGCAAGTGATTAGCTTTTTAAACATTCCTACTTGAATAAAATCTGAAATCTAAACTACAGGTAAACACGGGACTAGGAAGAACAGTGATTATGATCTGAGAGGGAATAAATATACAGTCAGTATAATTCTGGAACTCCCGTCGACATTGAACTTGACAGGGATTGAGAGTATTTTGCAATGGCAGTGAGACCCTTATCCTTTAGTTTGGTCTGTTCCGCAGCCTCATTTTCGTTTCAGGAAGTCAGGAAGTCAGGAAGTTAGGAAGGAAGTTAGGAAGTTAGGAAGTTAGGAAGGAAGGAAGGAAGGAAGGAAGGAAGGAAGGAAGGAAAGGTTTAGGGGCCAGCGCTGTGCGAAGTAGGTTAATCCTCTGCCTGGGGCACCGGCAGGCATCCTGAGCCGCGGTTCTAGTCTAGGCTGCTCCTCTTCCAATCCAGCTCTCTGCTATGGCCTGGGAAAGCAGTGGAAGATGGCCCAAGTCCTTGGGCCCCTGCACCCACGTGGGAGACCTGGAAGAAGCTCCTGGCTTCAGATCGGCGCAGCTCTGGCCATTGTGGCCAGTTAGGGAGTGAACAAGGGGATGGAAGACCTTTCTGCCTCTCCCTCTCACTCTCTGTAACTCTACCTCTCAAATAAATAAGTTTTTTTTTTTTTTTCAAAAAAAGATTTATTTGAAAGGTGGAATGACAGAGACCAATAGAGATTTTCCATCTGCTGATTCACTCCCCAGTTCTCTGGAGCCCTGCTGAAGCCTGGATCCAGAAACTCCATTTAGGTCACACACCTGAGTGGTGGCAGACCAAATACTTGGTACTTCTGCTACATTCTCAGGAGCATTGGAGCAGCTACGACTCGAACCTGCACTCACAGGGGATGCTTGTGTTGCAGGTAGTGGCTCACCCACTGCACCAAAATGGTACCTTGTCTTCACTTTTGTTGTATTTTAAAGCTTCAACCAAGTAGTGGTGGTCTCTGAATTTGCACACCAAAATTCCTGAGCAGTGCTTACTAAAGTCAAACCCTGGCCCCCTGTTCTGCCTGTGGGGAGGTCCTGGATTTTTTAGTTGGTGAAGCTCTAAAAACCTTGTGTAATGCGCTGATGGACAGAGGCAGGAGAAGAGAAACTAAGGATTTTTTTTGGTAGGCTGTGACTTTCCTTGAAGCTCAGAGCCATGGGGAGGTGGTGTAGGTAACATCTCAAGAGTAGGTAACGTCGGCATTTCAGTTGCTGATTCTCAGGTGCCAAGAGACTGAATCCTGTTGGTTGGAGAGGATTTTTGAAGTGGAGATAAGGAACTTTCCAGAGAGAATTGCAGAAACACAGTGGTGATGATGCAGAGGTGGAGAGAATAGGCTTAGTCCTGAGTGTGGTAGAAATGTTCATATCCTGCTGCTCAGTGTTCTGCCTGTACCCGATCTTGCCCACACTGGGAGTTTAGTTACAGAGTGATACAGTGGGCTGCAGAGAGTCAGCTACCTGATGCCAATGCTGCACTCTCCAATTCTGGTCCACAAAAACTGTATTTCCTGAGTTGGTGTAGGGGAGGAGGATGAATTTACTTTTCTGCCCAATCAGAGAGCTACTTTTCTGCCCAATCAGGGGCTACTTTGTGGCTGCTTGATTCTCATCCAGGCCCAGCGGGGTTGCAACATCCACACATTCCATCAAGCTAGTTCCCTCCAAGATGAAGCTAGCCGGGAGGAGCAAAAACCCAACAGCCTGACCATCTATCAATTGCCAACCATGGACCCTGTTTTCTCAGGCAACCACCAAGGTCACAGGGACTGGATCTTTGTCATTGTCTGTATCAGTAACACCTTGGTTGTTACTCCCATGATGGCACTATGGCACTATGGCAGTTAGACCATGATACTTTCAGTGACAGTATTACAATGTAATGGGTTTCCCCATGTATGCTCACATCTGCGCAAGAGATGTGGAAGTCATCCTCAAAGATAAGACCAACCCAATAGCCAGAAGATGTGACCCCTGACCTTCAGAGGCAAGAATCAGGAACTGGAGGCCGTGCACCTCAATGGCTACTTCCACCCGAGGAAAGCTCAGAGCCACCTGTTCAGGCTGTTGTTCATCAGGTTCATTCATACATCTGAGAAAATGGATGCCTGACCTACTGTAATGAATTGTCCCTGTATGCTGTGGGTTCCCAATCTCATGTCTCTTTATAAGATCTATGCCAAGGACAGTGCTACTTCTGGCTCCTTTGCTCCCAGAAAGCTGGCACTGGTGTGTGCTTGTTGAGTTTCCATCACTACATCATCAACATGGGAATAGACCATGGCTTCCTACTCTTCTGTGACATCAATGCCCAGAAGTTCCTGGAGGAGAGAGCCAAGGTCATTCTGGACTTATCTCCAGGGTCTTTGTGAAGGAAACTCAAGCTCACCTGTAGCAGAGGCTGGCTCAAATATCATGGCCTCTGGGTAAACTACTTCAGTGATGGTGTGAATGAATTGCCAAATGTGTTCTACACTGACTGCTATAACAGGTCTTATGGGTTCTAGAATTTTGATTGATCTCCTCAATATCTATCTCTCTCTCATTTTCTTTCTCCCTATAACTCACACTATTATGATCACTTCGCAGAGATATTGATTATTTCTTACTGTTGCTTTATAAAACATCATTTTATGGCCTTATCTTCCTTAGAAAAATAATTAGATTATTTTTCCTAAATACAGTTCCCATCTCTTTCTTGAAAGCTTTATTTATCTGAAAGGTAGACTGACAGAGATGGGGTGGGGAGAAAGACAAAGAGAGAGAGAGAGAGATCTGGATTAGGGCAAAGACAGTAGCCTGGAGTTCCATTCTGGTCTCCCATATGGTGGCAGGTATCAAAGTACTTGGGCCATCTTCTGCTGCCTTCCAAGGCACAGTAACAGGAAGCTAGATCAGAGGTGGGATAGCCAAGACTCAAACTGGCACTCAGTATGGGATGGTGGCATTCAAGCCATGGCTTAATATGCTGCACCACAACACAGACTCTACAGTTTCTTTCTTTTCTTTTTTCATTTTTTTGACAGGCAGAGTTAGACGGTGAGAGAGAGAGAGAGAGAGAGAAGTCTTCCTTTTCCGTTGGTTCACCCCCCAAGTGGCTTCTGTGGCCAGCACGCTGCGCCGATCCAAAGCCAAGAGCCAGGTGCTTCCTCCTGCTCTCCCATGCAGGTGCAGTGCCCAAGCACTTGGGCCATCCTCCACTGCCTTCCCGGGCCACAGCAGAGAGCTGGACTGGAAGAGGAGCAACCGGGACAGAATCCAGCGCCCCAATCGGGACTAGAACCCAGTGTGCTGGCGCCACAGGCAGAGGATTAGCCAAGTGAGCCGCGGAGCCGCTTACAGTTCCTTTCTTAAGAGGAACTCTATTACCAACTATTAAAATGGTATATTTTCAGTCTGTTACATGTTCTTTTTCCTTTTCAAGATAACTTAGAAAAAACTCATTATAATTATTTCCATTGTATAGATTAGAAAACAAATATTGTGAAAAGTAATGATGTTAGAAAATGACAGACTGAAGAACAGAATCAAAATCTGATTCCTGTGTGTGTGTGTGTGTGTATATATACATATATGAGTGATTGTGTGTGTGTGTGTATGTGTGAGTGTGTGTGTTTCTATTGATACATCTGCCATGCTTGATTAATAAAAATCTCAGTCTCTGATCCTGGATTTGCAAAATAAGTCCCTTTTATTTATCAAGAACATAATATTGCCCGTGATAAATAGAACTGGAGCCAATAATCCCCCAATATTTTTACCACCTCTGGAATTTAGTGGAATATTTATGTTCCAGTTTTTTGTTTCTTAAGTTTTATTTGGTTTGCTTCTACATACTACTATTACTCTAAGAGGAAGAATCATTTGACAAGAATATTCAGAAAATTCTTACATGACTTCTAATTTAAGAGATCTTATTAACAAGCTTATTATGTTTTATAACCATATTCTTCTACAAAAATAATTGCTATTATAATTAAGTATTTTCCTTTAGAAGCTATATAAAGATAGATTTCTTTGGAAAAGTTTTTCTTACTAAGACCAGCCTAAGTTATAGAAATAAGAATTGGTTGCTGTTCTAAATGTGATTGGATGGTTGAAAAATTGTAATTCCCCAGAGGGATTTACAGTACAGAGAACAGTTGAAAATTCATAAACTTTAATACTAACATGAGGGAAAAAGTGCAGTCACAGTAAATGACTGTGATTAGCACTGGGTCCTCTGACCTTTGTAGACACTAAGCAAGTATTTGCTATGTTGAGACAAATCTAGGAAGAAAAACATTTTCAGTATATAGGTTCATATTCTCAAAATTCTGCTCAAATTTACCTGCATGTTCAAAGAAATATCTAATTTTTAAAAAGTAAATATCTAAAATAGATTTCAATTTAGCAAAATTTCTGAGTTGAAGCACATTTAACTTAGATATCAATAATTATCAAAGTTGGGGGTATGAAAAAAATCAGCCCTGACATCTTTAAGAACATGAACAATTTATTGTTAGGGAAAATTCATGTCTCATAAAATTTCAGAATTTAATATATGAAGTTGAGTGGCATTGGTCACAAATAGAAGATGACCATCTTTTATAATCAGAAATTTCACAGTCACTTTGATCCAATTTATGACATTTTCCTAAGAATTTTGTTAATATCTTTGTTCACTTCAATGCCATTTGATAATTTATGCAATGATATCTATTCATGAGAATTCCTATATCACAATTTCCTTAATAAAATGCCTAAAACT